GCGAGAACGCGCCGCTCCGACGCCGCGGGATCGACGCGTGCGAGATGAAATATTAGAGATACTGGAAAGGGTCTTTTCGTTTTTATTAGAAAACTTTGCGTGAAAATAATAAGGTGAGTTCGATCTTAATGAAAGTTGATAACAAATAATGATAAAATAATGAAAGTTGATAAATAAAAAAAATGCTGTTAACTAACCTGGAATTTAAATTAATTCTGGATTAAAATTAAGAGCCCGTACTGCAACCACGAAAAAAACTGAAGGCTTTAAAATATGAAAAGACTTTCTAGTAAAGAATTCCCTAATGAATTCGCGCAGCGAATACCTATCGCTCCAACGAGCCTACGCGGCCATCTCGCACGCAGATGCTATTGTTTCGACTATTGTTTCGACTTAAGCCTGTGTCACGCTACGGATTGAAGATCAAGGATTGCGATTTGAAGATTAGATTTCGACAAATCAATGGAACTTCGGTTTTGATTTGCTTTATTCCGATTGGTTAAATTTCAATCTTCAATCCGCAATCCTTGATCTTCAATCCGTAGTGTGACACGGGCTTTAGCGCGACACCGATCAGCGGTTCGGATTAATCCCCTCGCCAGGTGCGCCATGAGTCGCGTGTCGCTCCTCGGAAGTCATGCGCGCGCGCGCACGGCGTCGGGCTTCCAGTTATGTAAAAATTTTATTCAGGGCCGACCGGTGGTGCCTGCATCTTATTAAGAGCAGAACTCGCCGTGAACGTGTGAGAAAGATAGAAATAAAGAGAGAGAGAGAGAGAGAGAGAGAGAGAGAGAGAGAAAGAGGAGGGGGCAGATACATACACTCGAATTGACAAAAATCTTTGTCGCGCAGAAAAGGTGAGTCCGGCCACGTTCCTGCGTCTCCAGCGGTTATCGGCTCTCTCGCGGCACACACAGCGTGCTGAATGAGCTGCGTATATACGCGCGCGCGAGTATAGAAAGTATCGAATGCGCGTGGCACACTATCGCGAAGCAACGCGTTTTTGCCCCCGGGGCGGCCGCCGAGAGAGGAGCGGCGCAGCAAAAACGACGGAAACAAGGCGGCGGCGGTGGCTCAGTCGCAGAGCCGCTTCGTTAAAGCCTGAAAATTGCGTTAGCATCGACGTATATTCTCTCTCCTTCCACACCGCCGCTGTGCACGAACAAATCGGAGCGAAGGGTGACGCGTAGAGCGGAGAGGAACCCCCGAGCGTAAAAATCACGCGCGAATTCACGTCGCGGGGATCGGTTCGCAAGGCGCGCTCGGTCGAAGTTGAAGAAATCGTCGCGCAGATTGACATGAATTTTTCTCAGGCTTCGGATTTGTAAGAAAAGGAAAGCTTGTCGAGCAAAATTATAAACACATTATTCTTAATGTTAGAGGCATTATATATTATATATATAATGCAAATCTTATTGATTTTAATATAAATTTCCTCTTACATACATATTGAATCTTTTTTTAAGAGGATTATTTATTCTTACTCTAGTTTATTCTTACTGGTTATATTAGTTAGTTTGAAAAAATTATTATAATGTATAGCGAAAAATAATATATATATATATATATGTGTATATATATATATAATATATATATATATAGATGTACTTCTGGTTCAAGTTCTACAACAAGTAGGCACGAATGAAATAGGATCATCATAACAAATAAATTTCCAATCAGTTTTGTTATAGACTTCATAACTACAAAGATGTTCATCACAACCAATTGTACGAAACATAGTTAAAAGAAAATATATTATTAAAATATTATAATATAATATAAAAATATTATAATATTATTCAATAGATCTTCTTGTAATAGATTATAAACTGTATTTGACCAAATATGGGTAAATTATCTTTGTTATATGTTACAGCAACACACGTACTTTTTGTTAAAAAGCGTCCCAAATATTTTGACCCATAAGCATATGGTTAATTTTCGTTCATGTCTGGAGGTGGAGCATGACTGAACAAAAGAAGCCAACATTCAAATCAACATATTCCTCTTCCTATAAGAGGGAAGTTAATTGATACAAGAGGAAATAGTTTAGAAATAAGAGGAAAACAGTCAGAATAATATCTAATAAATTTGAAATGAATGGTTTACTTTAATCCTTTTTCTGTAAAAGATTCCGCTTAGAACATGAAACTATGGGAAAAATCACTTTACAAATAGAGTACTTTTTTTGGATGTGCAAGAGTCAGATCAATACGTGACAAATTAATTAACGCGTAAAAACGCTCCGAAGTCTGTGGGCCGCTCCCATAGTAAGCCATCGAGAGTATTAATAACCATGATGATAATTATTATCATCGTAGTCGAGGAGGGTTTAAAATAGACGTCTACGACACCTTAACGATCTCGCAGCTGGCGAGATCTGTGTCACGAGTCGGTCGTCGCCTCGCAGTGACGCTTAAGGAAAATCCATCGAGTTTCGCGACAGAACTCGACGACGACGACGTCGACGACTATGGGATTCTCTCTCTCTCTCTCTCTCTCTTTCTCTCGCGGCTTTTGACGCGCGTTGAAACACCAAAGGACGTGCCTCCGCGGAACCGTCCGTATCGTTAGCGACAAATAGCAGCCACCCCTTCGTGCGCGCTCATTGACGTTTCAGGCGCAATTGAACATAACGGCGGCCGCAATCAGACGCGTAATTCCGTGCCGATACGCGACCCACTGAATCTCACGCGCATTCTCTCCCCTTTTTTAAGCGAGGTGACTTTCGCTGCGCCGAAGGGACAAGAAACGGCGGAATAGACGTCAAAGAAAAGCCCGTCGATTAAGTTCACCGGTCATTTCGGAAGAGACATTTCCTCGAGAGAATAGTTTCTCTCGTAAAACTCACGGATGAGACTTTTTCTTTCTTACAAACATCCACGAACACTAATCGACATTTCGATCGACCGAAGTGATCGTTAAAACGGTGATTACACCTAATGATCGTTTCAACCGATCGCTTTCACTCGACCGACTACATACACTGATTAACATAATAATTAACCTTATCGGCCGATTAGGCCGCTCATGATTAACTGATTACTGATACACACGCCGATCGTCCTAAACGTCCAAGCAGTCAAGGCTCCGGTCGATTAATCGCCGACAAGGAGGCGCACTCGAGAAACAGGTCTCGCCATTGACACACGTCTCCCCGGGACACCCGGTATATACGCGCGCGATATCCCCGTAACCGATCCATCGACGCTCGATAGCCGCTCTCGTCCCGGCCATACGATGCCTCTCACGTAACCCGTGCTTCCTTTTGTTGTGCTGCGTGACTGTTACACACGTTGCTGCTACTACCACCATCGCCACCATCGCCACCACCACCACCACCATCACCACCATCATTGCTATCATGTGCTCATCGCGCGCGTGCATCGCCGCGGGCGTGAAAGCGACGCGGCGTGATCGTCAACCTGGACTCAACGGCGACGCTGACCGTGCCGAGACGAAGCCACCTGTCAATTCGATCAGCCGCGTAAACGAGAGTAAATGACGGCCGAAGACGCCGCCTCCTCGCGGAGGAGAGGCGATCATCAGCGTTGACCTGCCGGCGAATTCGCCGTCTTCTTTCTCTCTCTCTCTCTCTCTCTCTCTTCTCGAGATGCCGATCGATGCATCCTGAGAACCCCAACGACGTGCATCGCGCCGACTGTTGCACGCTCTCTCACAATGGTCTCCTCGCACCCCACTTTCCTTTCAGCGCTCCCCTCGCCGGCGAGCGCAGTCGTCCGAATCGGGCGTTTTTATACCGCCACGCCGTCGTCGTGGATATTCGTGCACCGCGTACGCAACCCCGATGAGTCCTGTGAGCCGCGCGCTCGGGGGGGTTGGAAGCACGAAGGTGCGAGGACACGTCCGTGCGCGCACGCTCCAGGTTTCCATGAACCTTCGCGTTCACACCTGGCTCTCTCTCTTACTCGCTTCTATGGCTTCAATAATAAAATGCAATGCGACATAAACAAATTTGATGACATGCAAATATTAAATTAATCATTAATTAACAATTAATGATTAATTAAATGTCAATTAATTACTAATTATTACCCATTGTCAATCAAAAGATACAATGAACAAATTGGTTGGCATACACAAATTGTTAATTATTACGCGTGATATTGAAATATAATACGGTATGATGCGACGTACACGAGTGTGATAAAAGATGACACACGACGCGTCAAGTTGTCACATAGGAAAGAGACAGATTATCCGAATAATCAACGGCTACAATGTGTATTATGTACAGGCAGGACGCGAACTATTAGGGAGATTAGCTAGTTTCGGCCTGATAAGCCTAAGGCTTTTCGAAGCTTAGCGTACTACGAAATGTTTTCTTTGCTCTCTCTCTTTCTCTCTTTCTCGCGCGCGCGTGCGTTCATATATTCTCGCGATTAGATGCGAATCGCGTTTATTCCCCGAACGACACGGATATGAACCAGAGAGGGTACCAGAGGTATCAGGACGGGAGGAAGAGGAGGGAGGGGGTATTTACCGATCAAACACACAGATACGCGCGCACGAGCACGCACGTTCGACGTCGGCCGCGTTTTGATACTCCCAATCTTCCAATCTCCAAGTTCCGACATCCGCGCGGATCTATTTGATCGGGCGAAAATCCCGCAGCGATCGCATTCCCGAATTTTCCACACAGTCGAGAAGTCTCGAGTTCCCGGGCCGGCTCCCTTATCATCCGTATGTTACACTACTCATCAATTTGTTATTTATTCGAGACCCACGGCGTCGCGCCTTCGTGCACCGCCGATCACGTCTCGGTGACGACCGAGAGAGAGAGAGAGAGAGAGAGAGAGACTCGCTCGTCGCGAGAGTACGTACCACAAGAGTGCAAGTATCGCTCATTATGCGACGCATCGACGACGACGACGACTTAGGAAAATCCGTCGTAACGAGTTCCACGCGAAGGTCATCGTCGTCGGCCGAAAATCGGCCGAGTCCGCTCAGTCAGTCAGATAACAACGGCGCGCGCTTACCTGCGAGGAGAGACGCAGCTTCCGTGTCTGTGTGTAGCACACGCAGCAGCAGCAGCGTGGGTAGAACCGTTCACAACGCGACACGGGCGATCGCCGAGCAGGGCTTGGTTCTCCGTAACAACGTCCGCCTGCAGTCGCCGCCGATCCTCGCTCGTTGCCTGGATTCCGAGGGCCGCGAGAACGACGCACGAGAGCACTGTCTATCAACTGCACCGAGACGACGCGAGATGAGACGAGACGAGACGAGCGAACTGGACAGACGGGAATGGACGAGCCGAAATCGGTTCGAGTCGCGCGCGACCACGTAAACAACTGTCGTTCGAATTCCGTGGAGGACGCGGCCACCCCGCCGCGGGATCACGGGACGACGCCGAACGCGGCCACGGCCCTTATTACCCGCGCCATCTTCAAATAGTCCCTCGACGAAGCGCGCGGCGGAGGCACCCGCGAGAAAGCCTGACAAAGAGACGACGGGGAGGATCGAGGTTTACTCGCGTAAAACGCGATGCGACGCGACACGGCCGCCGCCCCGACACACCACAAACCGGATTCCTCGTCCCTCGCTCCTCGTGTTCGATCGCGACGCGAGAGATCGCGAACAGCAGCAACGGCAGTCACCGCACGAATATCAGCAATATCACTGCCTCGGGCCAGGCCGCGAACTCCAAGTTACTTATTGACGAGGAGTTGGCTATCAATGCGATCGCCACCTGGTGGCGGCGACGGTGAATCGAGAAATGTGGCGGGTGATTTGAACGAGTTTATTCCAGCGGCTTCTTTGCAGCCGATGATCGGTGAAACGACGACTCTTGAGATTCGGTTTCAAAATTGCGGATGCCTCGAGTGGGGATGCAACGATTTCTCAAAATATCGATAACGATATTATCGTCATTCAGAACGTCATCGATAACGATAATATCGATAATTTTGAAAAATACCGATATTTCGATATCGATATTTAAATATAAAAAAATGTATACGTATAGGAATATGCGTATAACAGGCATAAAAATTTTTATCTTCATATAATTTATTGTCATATTCTTATTAGAAAATATATGATGAACCGCAGTCGTTTGCCGGAGATTACCGCATACAGCATGGAGCAGGGGATCTATTACGGTTCTACGATTGAGGTGAAAATTATGAAAAATGAGCGAATTTACTAGACATCGACCAATTACATAATATATATTCCAGTGAATTCACTCACTTTTGTAAATTTTCATCTCGGTCGTAGAACCGTAATAGGCCCCCAGTGGTGTGATTCTGTAACTCGTTATTAGAGTTAAGCTTTTGTATACCGTAGAAAAGCTGCGCAACGATAACGAAACTGTCGTTAACTCCAATAACGAGTTAAAGAATCGCACTACAGAGCTGTAACTGAAAAATACGAGATATCAGTAAAATTCATATCGATATATCGATTTTACCGGAGACAAAAAGGTATCGATAAATATCCCCGATATTTGATTTCTCTCGATATATCGATATTTCGATATTATCGATTTATCATTGCGTTCTTAGCCTCGGGAGATCGATCGAGCTGTTCGGTAAAAATAGTGCATGACTGATGTGTATACCTTTTGGAATCTATCGATGACGTCCGCCTTTGATTATTCGACTGTTGTGATCTTTGAACGCAGCTACAGCTGTTCGCTCATCCCGACATTTTTGTTCGTATATTTTTGTAGGTTTGCGTTTCCTCCTCCAGAGACGAATATACTAAAATCGGAAATGTGATGTCTGCCAGTCGTGTGCGACGAGATTTCTTTCTTCCTTCGGAATATTATAAACTTGTGTTGCGCCGTTAGATTCGAAAATAAAGACGAAACTTGAAAATAAAAGCAATCATGACAGATATATGATTGCACCTTCGAATAACAGCCAGTAAAAAAAGAAATAAAATTTCTTTCTTATAGATCATAAAGTCACGCAATTAACGGACTTTTAGCACCATCTAGCGGTGGTACGAGAACTACGTGTAAGGCGTGGTTTGAGTCTCTTTTGAGTGATTTAAATCCAGATTTTGGCTGCACATGACCAAAAGACTGATCTTAATTAAGATTCGAATCATAATTCACCGATCTCTACAAAATTTAATCGAATCAGGCCTTTTTGTACGCTGATATTATATCGACCATAAAATACGATAATGAAAAAAAAAACTTAGCGATGATATTTTAGTCTTACATACAAATTTTTAAAAAAGCATATACTATTGAAAGATAAGGTTCACTACGTCGAGAAAATTCATATTAATTGATTATTGCCGATGATTTCAAGATTTTGTCGATTATAAAAATTTCATATATCTTTAATCAATTTTTTGAAAGTCAATTATTATTCTCAACATCACCCAATCCTAGTTCATATTTGAGAAATCCTTGACATCAAGTACTCATCTTTTGTTGAGTTGCTGCGTCAAATATAGCGTGCATATTTAACGAAATGTCCAGAATATTAGGATAAATAAATGGTCTGTTCTTTGTAGCTGCACTGCTGAACTGGTGCAATAAACTAGAGTGAGAAAACCTATATTTATCTCACTTTAACTTATCGCACCAGTTCAACAGTGCAGCTACAAAGAACAGACCAAAAGTTGAGTCGTTGAAATCAATCGTATTGCGTTTTAAATGATTACAATACAGGTAGCCGAATCAAGCAATGCGATTGGTCGGAACTTTACTGTGACGTCTTACGGAAAAGTGTATATGATAACCTGAAGCGGGAAAAAGGCAACGCGGTTAGCACGTACGTCGATCATTCGGCTGATAGCAGTTGATTGTAACGGTTAACAGTGACCTTTTACATACATCTTGCACGTGTAGCTTTTTATATACGAATAAGTATATAAGAAAGAACATGTCACAGCCCTCAGTAACGGTGTACTTCAATACGCGAAAGCGTCGAGCGTCCGAGGATCAACAGGGTAAGACCAAGATTTTGCTACTGGAGCGAGAACAGTCGAGCGATAAAACGTGCGACAACATCAAGGATCTGAGACAAAACGTGCCCGACGAGGACAGTATGGTGAGCCCAAAGGCCATCCTGAAAGATGCGGCATCTACGGTGAAGAATTCCCCATGTATCAAGAAAGCGGTTCGTAATATCAATTTTGACTCGCCGAAAGCAAACACAGAGAAAATCATCAAGACACCTAAAGCACGTGTACTGCGCTCACGCAGACTATTTCCTGCGGATGGACATCAGCTAGACATTCGAGAGAGTCTGCAAAAGATGGGACCTACCGACGTAAAAAGCAAAAAAACGTCAATTAAAAAGAATGAAAATCTCAGTCCAAAAAAGCCAGTGGCTCCCAAAAACGATTCCTCTGATGATGTTTCAAAGCATAACACAATCAAGGAGGAGAAGGAGAGGGAGAATGAGCCATCATCTGATGATTTAGAAACTCCAAAGATCTCAAAGATGGAAAAACTAGCTACTGAAAACTTAAGTTTAAATGACATCAAGAACAGAATCAGCAAGTCTTCCAGATTGGTAGAGCTAAAAGCTTCCATAGCAAGATTCAAGACCTGTGATCAGCAATTAGAGAAAATGCAAGAACAGAATGATCACAACAAGTTTCAAATGCAGAAATTTAAGAAAATAGAACTTGAGATTCCTGCGAGGTAATTTCTTCGGACAAAATTATTTCATGATGGAGTTTCATGAGTTAAAATTGATAACAATACAGCCTTTTCTCATTTGGTAGCCTGCAGAAGACAGCTAGATCTCCAATCAAAGATAAAGATACTTTAAAAGCATTGAGTATCCAGCCAAGAATTTTATTGAAGTCTAAGGATATAACAACGAATACTGTGAAATACAGTTCCATTAAGAGATCAGCTCATCAAAAGCATCTGACAATTGCTAAAAGCAAGATATTATCATTGATATTGCCCTACAACTATAGATTCTTAGCAGAAGTGTTTAGATGTGTGGAAACGGTAATATTTCTATTTTACAGTATTTTAGAGTCTACATTATAATGTTTTTTTACAAAAATTTTGTGTATACTTTCACGTGCTATATATTGTTCATGTTTGCTTCATAACAAACTACATAGTTATTTGTTTTTACTTTCAGGTATCGGCAATGCTGTTTAATAGAAACGAACTGATAACATTTAGTAAATTAAAACTTGCAGTTCAAGAGTTATTACGACGTAATTTTACACAGGACCATCTAGCCCAGATAAAAACTATTTATCCTGATGCTTATATCTATCAACAACAGAAGCATCATAATTTCGGCTCAATATCCAAAACTGAGAAATATGACTTGACCCTGATGCCTGTAGTTAAAAAAAATAATGGCAGAAATACACCTGATGAGGATAACATATTGAAATCTGTGTCCAATTATAGTATGGGACCTGCTGTATTACTGGAGAGAAGGCGAAAATTTTATAACACTCTGCTAGGTATTACCTAAAAGAAAGATTGTTACTCTATGTCAATTTCTTTGAATCAACCATAATTCTATGTATCTGAACATCATTTTCAATATCTTTGTCGCAGAAAGAGTTAAAGATGAGCATGAGAAGTTCTTATTGACCTTGGAGACTCCAATAATTATAGAGAAGGAGAAGGTAGTGCGCTGGCATCCTGAATTTAATGTAGAAACATGTAAAGAAGTTGAGAAAGCCGAATTACCACAGCCACCTCAAATTGAGAAACCAACTGCCAAAAATCTTCTTGGTAAGAATAAAAATATCAACAAAAGTAGGAATATTGCTTACAAACAATTAATCCACCTCATTCTTTATACATCAAAATGCATAATGCTAAAAGCATATTTTCAGATATTGGAATAATACCAGAAATTAAAAATATCTGTATAAATTTGCTTATTATGCGTTGCTATATAATGATGTAATGTAGTCTTAATTTCGAAGTAAATGTAGGACAAAATATTGCACAAAAATTTTCAGTAACAATGCGTCCAAATATTTGCGAAATTCGTTTTTTCGTTCGGCCCCGATGTTGCAAGACTTCGTTGATTGATCAGCACATAACACGATGCAATCGTGCGGTATCGTGGTATCGTGGTATAAAACTTATGTGTAACAACTCAACACACATACGCACACATAGTTACACACAGTGCATGCATTAATCTCACTCGATCCGTTCTATAATTAACAACTTAACTATAGGGATTTAAGATTTCTATTAGAGAAAATCAAGTTATTAATAAAATACATAAGCATTCAAATAATTTAACTAACATAAAGGATACATGTCAAGACACTGATGAGTATTCCATTTATCACTATTTTTATCATATTCTTTTATCTCTCTCCTTTTTTACAGAAAAAGTTAAGTCTTTATTAACTCCTGGCTGTTATATGGAAAAGGCATTGCAGAAACTTGCTGAGGCAAATATGACTTCGAAATCGACTTCTTCCATACAGGATTCCGCAACTCAAACCATGGAGAATGATATTCCGAAAGTTAATACTATCATTATGAACACCCCACCACCTACACCAAGTATACATCAGGACACTTATCTTACTAAAACATTTAAAGGCATTCCCAAATCATTACTTGAGAAGGTAAGTCGATCAGCTAAATATATATTTCGAGAATTAACACTTAATATGTTTCTCGTAATGTATATCTTTCATTTTGTGTCTTTTCATGTTTCGTAATACTTTAGGTTCGCGCGAGACAAGCGGCTAAAGCATTAGAAGAGATGACGAAAACAGCAATTTTAGATAAGGAGACCATGTTATACTCAAAACTCCCAGAATTAGCAAAAATACTCCGCAATATTTACGTGGCGGAAAAGAAAGGTGTTCTACCAATGGAGACGGTGATACAACGACTGGATAACTCGTTTAGGATGAAGTTAACGCCGAATGAAATGGACGAGCATATACGGCTACTATGTAAGCTATTACCCACTTGGATTAGCATACATAATGTGCGAAAGAACGATTATTTAAAATTGGACAGAAACGCCGATATTGCAAAAGTGATCAAACAATTGGAGATCTCGGCTAATAACAAAGTCAACAAGTGATATTTATGTGTTCATTTAGTGTTAAGACATATTAATGTTACAACAAAATTTATAAATTTTTTCATTAAAGTATATAAAATCGTATGAATATCTTTGAAATATTAATTAGACTCGCAATTCCCAATGTTTATTGAGCTAATTTGCTGCTAATGTATTATTTTGTTTATCAATAAAATTATTAGTAAAATGCAATATAAAATTTTGTATCAATTATATATTTGTATAATTAAATTTTTGTAGTTATATGAAATTAAATGTAAACGAAATATTAGAAAAAATTAAAATATTAAAGATAAAACTGTAACTTATAGTTAAGTTAGAGATATAAAAGCATATTAGGATAATTTTAAATATAAAATATAAAATAAGTGCAGCATTCAATGTTAAGTCGTACTATTTAAAAAGTAATGTTACATCGAGCAACATACTATCCAATGAGATAATTTGTCTTCCGCTAGTTACCAGGGAAAAAATTGTCTTATTGGGTACCATATGAGCTCAAAACTCACTACGAAGCGTTATATGATTTTCAATAAAACTTGATAACATCAAATTAAAACATTATCGAAACATGGAGTAATTGAATTTGAAAACATCGAAGAAATAATCGATTTTTTAAGAAAGAAAGTTAAACTGGAGAGAAACCTGAGAGCGGCCAACACTGCATTTTCTGCGACACCGACTTTCCGCACTGGGAAAGGACGTCATCTGCATCCATTTTGAGAGGCGAACTACGATGTTACATTCACTTTTAGGTCTCGGTGGTAAAATCTGCAATCTGTGGTGAAAGTCCGTGCTACATCACTTTCAGGCGGTTTATGTCCGTGCTGCAACCACAGTTGCCATCTCTATGCCAGACTATGCCCGGAGGTCTAAAAAGAGGGAAGGGAGGGGGAGGGACAGAAGGAGGAGCAGGAAAAATAAAAATACATATTAAATATTAAATTTTCGAATGTTGCCGTATCAAAGTCTACTGTATAATAAACAATTTGACATGTCTGGAGACGCAGGAAGTATCGTTGCCCGCGTCCCTTTCCTTTCGTCCTACTTCTCAATTCAGCATCCCGTCCGCTCCGGACATTCGCTCGTGGCATTGATAGTGGCCGTCGGTGAGCATTCGATCCGCTCGGAGAAGCACGTGTTAATTAACGTGACGAGACTCCTATTACAAATATCCCGCGAGTCGACGAAATATCTGAACTTTTAAAAAAAGCATCAAAGAAAATCACGTTCATGTTGTCATGGGTGAAATCTCACCCTGGTATATATTTTTTTATTTTCGAAATAAAGCCAAACGAATGCAATTAAATGTTATTTATCATCATTGAATATTAGATGAAAAGTAAAAGAGTTATTGTCCGCAGCGGGATAATTTAACATTTAATAAGAACGAGACAAAATTCACATGGGATGAAATTCCACTCTTTAACTCTACCATGACCTTTAATTATTCTCTGAAAACGGCGTCACAACAACTTTGACACACTGTACAATTAGTTGCTAACACATTTTCTAATCGTACACATTCCTCTTTAATTAACATAAAGCTAACAAATGTCCGATGCTTCGACAGAGTAATTTTCTTTATTTTCAGTAATCAATAAATAAAGTAAATCAATGTCGCGTGCAGTTGAAAGGCCTCTTCGCATTCCCCTCGTCGTTCCGAAACCTTCGAGAAAAGAAGAGACGCCCAAGGGCAAGTTTCTCTTGCTTCAACCGTCGCCGAGGCCCGCAATGTTTACATCGCGCCGATTGTGTTGATCGGCTCGCGAGCGACGACACTTTTTGCCCTTCGTGTTAATACTCGCGTGCCTCGCGTACTCGACCTCTTTCCATCAGCAGCAGCCGTGCGCGACGCGCTCGTCACTTCCTCTCGTATAATTGAAAGAAATGTATCTCGTCGGTCCTCAAGATATTCAATCGCGTCGACATCGCGTTGATTAATCGCACAGTCGAATCGCGAGTATCGGCGTTAGAAGCGTGAGCGAGTGAAATCCGGAGGACTCCAGCAGCCGGGAAGCAGGCAACGCCGGCAGCGATACCAGTCACGTTTCCAGGTATGTGGAATCATTTATTATGCGGGAGGTCTCCGATAACGAGAGCGGACGTTTGACGAATTTTCCGGGAATAAGAAGTCGAGATTTCGCGCTCGGCATTCACGATCCGTCATCATTCGACTAGTAATCATAGACACTTTATGAATCTGCAATTACTCTCGTCAATCTCTGTCTATCTATTTATTGCGTTGTTGTATATGTTACGGTTAAAGTGATAAATCCAGTTACTATGCATAACAAACGCGGTTATTATGCATAATAACCAACAGCTTTGGTTAATTTGATAAATTATTCATATTTTTGTAGTTAAAACCCACGCGTAAATTAAGAGCGCATAAGCTGCACACACGGTTATTAAAACCCACGCGTAAGTTGCAAATGCGTTTTGTATCGCGCGCCCAATTACGCGTGAGTTTTAATAACCGCGCGTGCAGCTTACGTACTTTTAATTTACGCGTAGGTCTCAACAATCGTGTGCGCAGCGCGCGATTCAAAACGCACTTGCAACTCACGCGTAGGTTTAATTGTTCATAACCTTGTAACATTTTGATATCGTTTGAAGTATTTCTGCCTATATTCATGACAATTGGACATAAATGGTTTTCAAAAGTTTCTCCAAAATCATTTTCTAAATATCATTTATCACTTCAAACAACAATAAATAATAAAAAATTGGTTATGTAAAATAATCGGTCATAGTGATAAATTGCATGTATTTTATCACATTAGCCAAAGCTGTTGGTTATTATGCATAATAACCAATTTATCACCTTAACCGTAGCATATATAAGATATATTAATCCAGACAGAGACGGATAACGGTCCGTGAACGCGGATCTCTAATTCATCATGTTCTCAATCAAACATTCTGAATAATTCCCAACTGTGCGAGTATATCGGTCTTGTGTAGAATATTCAACGTCATACCGCTTCTTAGATTGCGACCTTTTTTGTTTTCGGTCAGCGCTTCTTTCAAGTCTATTTATTCTCGTTACGGGATCTAAATTTAAATGTCTATTCGTAAAAGAGTATTTTCGAGAGCACACAACTGTTGTCTCCGTTTCTTGTTGTCATTTTTTTCGTCAGCTCTTTCAAGAGTTCCTATCTAGACTTTCAAAATCAATGAAAAAAAAAAATCGTAGCGAATATTCTCCACTCATCCCGACCAAACATTCTTTCTCTACCGCAGCTTACCAACCAGGAACGCAAAATTTCTGTTCCAGACGTTGCGGGAAGCAAGTCGGCGGACGCGGATGTCGCACCGGAGGATCCGGTTCGGGCAGAACAGAGTCGGCCGGAAGGTAAAGTTTACAAGTTTCCTATACATCAGTGTTCAACCTTTTACAATGTTTGCCTTTGCAACTTGTTCCTCATCAGCTCTTTTGAAAGCTTCATATCTCATTTAAATTTTCAATGTTGAAACAAAAATAGAAAGATAAAAATCCCATATCAAAATATTTCCGTATTTTCGATTCGTCTCGATCAAAGATATTCTCTCTCTACCGCAGATTATCAACTGGAAAAACTATTTTTCTGTTTCAGTTGTTGCGGAAAGCAACAACAATCCGGCAGATGCGGATGCCGCACCGGAGGATCCGGTTCGGGCCAAGCAGAGTCGGTCGGAAGGTAAAGTTTACAAGTTTCCTACACATCTATGTTCAATCCTTTACGATCTTTGCCTTTGCAACTTGTTCCTCATCAGGAACTCTCTTGAAAGCTTCAAGTCCCACTTAAATTTTCAATGTTGGAACAAAAATATACAGATAAAAATTCCGTATCAAAATATTTCCATATTTTCGATTCGACCCGGTCAAAGATATTCTCTCTCTAGCGCAGGTTATCAACGAGGAAAATTACTTTTCTGTTTCAGTTGTTGCGGAAAGCAACAGCAATCCGGCGAACGCGGATGCCGCACCGGAGGATCCGGTTCGGGCCAAGCAGAGTCGGCTTGAAGGTAAGTTTACAAGTTTACTATAGCCCTCTGTTTGACCCTTGGCGATCTAGAGCTGGAATATTTCCGGCTCGACTTGAATTACGATCGCAGAGGGTAAACTACTCTTTTACTCGCCCGCAATCGTTGGTCTGATCTGATGAGCGAATGTGAATTTTTGGTTACAGAGTTGAAGCGGAACGTGGCCGGCTCTGACTGCAAGTCGTTTCGGTGAGTCAAAATGAAAAGAGAAACAAAATGCTGCATGACGGATGTGGGACTAGATAAAATATCGTTCGAGTCAATGCGAATTGCAAATAGATTCTTGCATGTGTGTGTTTGTGACGTTGAATAAAATACATTGCTCGAAACAATCAGGGGATTACTTGATCGATAGCCTGCATTACATACGAGATTTAAAATACCGAATGATTCTCTTTTGATGTTCAGTCAGATCTGAATAAGAGATATTCATATCTACAAACGCGATACGGTCATCAGCTCCTTTATTTTCATTTTTCAAGCGGGCCGCAGATATATTTAACGATTTAATTATTTAACAATATTCAATTGTCCGTGTAAAATATACTCATACACATAAATGCCGATACCGTTGGTACTACTTTTCTTTTATTTGCAAAACAGGCTGTAGAATTATTTGGCAATATTGTCCACTCATCACTATCCCTATTGTCTCGAGTAGCGTATAATGCGCGCAGAAACTGCGCCAGCGCACGCCGAGCTTGAGGTATCCCTCGCTCGTGTGCCTTTGAATATCGCGACCGCGGTTATCAAAATACGCGTTTTTACCCGCGCTGCTAACAAAGAAGGCTTAAATTCTCATTTCGCCAAAATATCGCGAACGTAAGCTTCGTCGTGCTATCGGCGGAGCTATGCGTGAAAACTTTGCCCCGCTCCTCTCTCTTTGCGCTTTCTTGGGGCGAGCGGTTTCTGATTGTCTAACCTTTCCTCGCGTGCATTCGCGTCGCGAATATTTCATTCGTAGATATCGATACTCCCACATTTTCGCGACTTTTCAGACGCGATCGCGGAAAGCGCACCGTAAAAATCCGTTGGACGAGTCGATAAATTTTCACACGGTTCTTGCTCCTCGCCTATCGAGTTTATAAAGTCCGTTTCGCAGCGCGCAAAAAGTTTCCACCGATGTCGACGTAAAACGTTCGTTAATTGACGCAAATATCGCCGCTCTAATACAAATATCGACCGCGTCGCGAAAGTGTGGCGAAAGTCTAGCAATCAACGTGGGACGCGCTGCAAGATGGATGCTACGCGACATGGAGAGCGGCAGCACGGACATGGGCAGACATTGATGGATCTGGTTGGATGCAACGGGACATCATCAATATCATCATCGGTGAGCGTTTGACTCAATGCTCGCAGAGAGCTCTTTTATTATTACATTGTGCATGCCGCAAATTTGCATTGACTTTTGTAACGAAAATATATTCCATGAATTATTGCCATATATTATGGCCATATATTATTGCTATATATTGTTGCCATATATTGTTGCCATATATTGTTGCCATATATTGTTACCATATATTATTGCCATGTATTTATCGCCATATATTATGGCCACTTGAAATCGCGCGAGCAATCGAGAAAACTGAATTTACCGGTAATCGCAAAGGCGCGCGGTAGACGTCACAGATGAATGCCAGCAGCCCGTCTCAGGGCTGCCTGATAACAATACTGTTGCTGCAATTTAACTTCAAACCATAGCGGTCTCCGGTCGCAGGAAACTTTCTATCGCGGACTAACCCTTCGAGCGAAATATTCCCGAGAAGCGCTCTTGAGATAAACGCTAGTTATAAGCGAACTTGCCTCGTTAGGACCTCGTCGCGGTATCGTTGTCGCGGAAAATAAGGAAGAAAGGAGTTAAACATCCGACACCGTTGTGAAAAGAGGAGCGATGGCGTCCCTTCGCGAGTAGAATGTTAGGCTCTTGCGAACGGGAGCGTTAAATTCCACCGCGGCTAATTACACGCTCACGCGTGTGAAAATAACACACTCGAATTTGCAGCGACGATATAGCGTGAATATTTAGCGAGTACTACCTTGAAATCTCCGATTAAATTATATTTCTCGTCAGCCGTCGTTCTGTCGCCTAGCCCCGACTCTTTCGCCCGGGTGCCTCATTAGCTTACTTGTGTTTTACTTCGCCGGCGGCTTGTCCTTCTTTTTCTTCTTCTTCTTCTTGCACGCTGGAAACTGTCGTTAGATCATGTGGGCCACTCTTGGCTCGAGCAGCTTTATTGCTTTTTCGATATCATCTCGGCGCGTGCTCAGTCATTACATTTCTGTGATTAATAGCTCGGTTGTTGCGTACATCGCAAAATGATATGGGAATTTTATATTTATCTTAATCCGTTCTATGTCTTCGTGAATTCCTAGGAGCGAGGAATTTGTGAAACACTCTGTATATATGTTTCCGATTGCAATTTTAGTATTATTTCAACTTCGAATTATTAACTTAAGGAATGCCAACGTGTGTATATATTTATAAAATAAAAATTATTCTAAATTTTCTCACGTCTCACAATCCTAAGAGACATACACACATACATATTCGGTCTGTTTTCTATATTAATAGTCTTTGATATCTTCCGATACGTACATACATATTTTGAAACATTTTCTTTGGATATTATATCAAACGGATTTTGCGTGTCGCGTAATATCCTTCGGACTACACATTATTATTTTGATCATTTTGATTTCTTTGATAAACCTTAAGAATTATCCAGAACGCAACTGCCATGCTGAACGACTCAATTGTCGTGTGAAATGTTTCGATTTTCACAAATTCATATAAAATTTTTCATTTTTCACTAATTCACAGAAATCTTTCACTTTTCATTAGTTCACGCTAGGGAAAAGATTCATGATCGCTGCCCTGAGCAGCGCAACGCTTCTCCAATTATCTATGTCGGCGCGCTCCTACTCCTCAGATTTCTGTCATTATATAACTCGATAATTATTGCGAATCGCGCAAAACTCGTACGGGACTTTTATGTTTGTCTCAACCCAATCTACCCTCACACTTTGGGTTGGCAGCTAATTACCGGACACTTCGTATGATCTTCACGATATTAATCATACACAATGTCAATTCTTTTTTTGCACATGTTAACATGTTAGTTCATGTTATAAACGTGTAACAATGTGCGAGACCGTGCTTGTCAAGTGCGCTATTTATGGTTGTAGCACGGACATAAACCGCCTGAAAATTGATGTAGCACGGACTGCCACCACATGCAGGTTTTACCGTCGAAATCTGAAAGTGGATGTAGTATCGTAGTTCCCCTCTCAAAATGGATGCAGATGGCGCCCTTTCCCAGTGCGGAAAGTCGGTGTCGCCGAAAACGCCTGTTGGCCGCTTTCACGTTCCTCTCTAGTTAAACATTGATTCATTAACCGACATCATCCATACATTTTTAGTTTGGATTGAGTTACTAGATGGCGATGGAGAGTCTTATTAAAGGGTCCAGAATCAGAATTGAGAGAGGAGAGAGAGAGAGATGGTTGAGTTATCGCTGTAACTTGCGTTAATGTTTGGCACAAGCACAGTAACCTGTTGTGATTTTGCTGTGTTTATTAAATTATTTATTCATACATTGAATACAGCCAGTTTCTTGAACCATACAATCCAGAAAAAGATCTTTGACACCATGTTATTAACGAATATATTATTCAAAAAAGCAAAGAGCAAGTAAGTGCAACGTAAGCTCAGTGGAAATTGAGGTTAAAATATAAATATTTTAAAGTGTAATCGCGAGACAAACTTATCGTTTAATTCAATTGTAAGTATCTATAAAAAATTGTGTCATTTCTCCTGGGCACGTCAACAGAAGAATGAAATTAGATCCAATGTTTCATCAATTAACAGATAACTATTAATTTTATTATTAATTGCAGATTAATCATGGTTAGTGCAAGAAGTGTGATATCTGATCACATGTTAATACGTATCCGAGAGAGGGTGGGTGAAAAGCTTGAATTCATAGCCTTTGATCCTTACAGTAAGTAACTACTAGTACGTTGCCATCTACAATTGCAAATTTATTATTTATACAGAATAAAAAGAGAAAAATTATTGTATGGTTCAATTGTGTTCTCTTCTGTTATGAATAGTACAAGGTGTTTTATAATAAGCAAAGGTTACAATATACATTGAAGCTAATTTTTCTTTATAGTTCAACGCAAAGCGCTCTACAGGGAAGCAAAGAAAATACGTAGCTTAAAGTAGCATGTAATCTAGTTTTTACTATAGCATAAGGAAAATATAAGAAATGAAAACAAGATGGATTAAGAATACTTACCCAGCTTGAAATGTAGGACCACATTTCTTTTATCCCGTGTAATATACAGTCGATATGTCTCTGAACGCAGTGTCCAGTGAGTGAGTACTACACAATTTAAATAATAACAATGACATATTCTTTTGCATATTTAATCACATAATTCATGGCTGAATGATTATAAATGATTATTACATACAAAAGTCATGATCATTCACAATCTTTCAAGATTCTCAGATATTCATTATACATGATAATAAAATTCAAGAACATATTTTCAAATAGTTACAATATGGAGGCAATCCAGATACAATAGTTTAAAAAATAAAAAACATCAATTTTGTTTTTCCTAGTAAGAGTTAAATGTAATGATAATTATATCATGAAAACTGATGATATAGTTCCTATATCATTCAGTAGAAAGATAGATTCATTACTTGCGACTGCATAAACAAATGTACTCGAGAAACGTTTTTATTGACCGGTGATGTATATAAACCACGATTGTTCGATGACGCGCCTGGTTCGATATTGAGACATATTAGGTGTTCCCCGGCAAAAAGAAAAACAAAAATCTCCCATTGATCCCATTTGGCGTATCATTACTGTAGGCTGTCAAATAAAGCACACAGTGGGCAAACGCTTTGCGTAAGTTTCATGCCGGTCGCGCGGGACAGAAGGAGAAAGAGAGGCGAGGCAAGACTCGGAGAGACCAGCCAAGAGTCTCGACATCGAGATTGGGGTAGGTTTCCTTTGATCCTTAACAAGGAACACAAAGTTGTATTATTTCCACCTGGGTTTCAAACGGTTCGGAATCCGCCAGGCGTGAAACACGATCCACTCTCTCTCTCCATCTCGCGCCCGCTCACCGTTCACCGTTCTCCGCCTCGTCCCGGGGACTCCTTTTTCCCGTTCTCTCTCTCCCCCCTCACTCCATTTTCTCTCTCTTTCTCTCTCTCTCTCTCTCTCTCTCTCTCTCTCTCTATCTATGTGTATATGTGTGTGTTCTTCACTCCTTTTCGACTGCGATGCGGGAGCGGTGACATCGCGCAGTTTGCCGATGTTGCAAATTCAATTTCTTTCACTCTCTTTTTCTCTCTCTTTCTCTCTCTCTCTCTCTCTCTCTCCCCGAATCGAGCCATTGTCCAGAGGGAAGGGGGGAAACCGCAGAAGGGGTTGCACGTCCCGGAGAGAGAATCGTCTCTCTATCTTTCGCGATTGTGCGCGTGACAGCTCGTGAGATCCGGAATCTTCCCTGCTTCTTTTCCCTCCTCACTCTTCTCCTTTCTCTCTCTCTTTCTCTCTCTCTCTCTCTCTCTCTCTCTCTCTCTCTCTCTCTCTCTCTCTCTCTCTCTCTCTCTTCCTCTCTTTCTTTCTTCCTTCGAAGAAAGGGCTTCCTGACTTCCTCCTGGACGCGCACGCACGCTAGCCTGTAATTGCGGGTCGCGCGATCAGGCGGCCACGCGGGCTTTAACTCATTCGTTTTCGATCATGCGAGTTGTCTCCGCGGTTTGACACACTTGGCCGGATTTACCATAAATTTTCTGTCGGAAAGGCACTCGAGACTGCACTCCACACGTATGTGCGAGTGAGACGATACGTCTGTTCCACGGAGCATTCAGCGGTCACCGGTCAACACTCGACGGTATAGTTAATTAGCGGGGCATTCGAGCAAGCAACTGTAATTATAGCACTTTGTGCGCGAGCATATAAAGGAACAAGCGTAAATTGACTCGGTAACTGTCGATTCATCCGGTAACCGGCGGCTCGGTGCCTGGCACTTGACTCCGCTCGCTACGTGAAATTCTCGCTTCGCGAGTGAAACAACCCGCAATTGGCGCTGAGAGAGAAAAGAAAGGGAGAAAAAAAGCGGGGGAGAGGGAGAGAGAGAGAGAGAGAGAGAGGCTGCGGAAAAATGTAAAGGGAAATCACGGGGAGAAAGAACGCGAAGTAAACGGAGGCGAGAGAGGAGTCTGGGTGATGGTGGTGGTGGTGGTGGTGGTTGTAGTTTCTCAGGGTGGTGCGTTTCAGTTGCCTCGCGTTCGAGGGCGTTTTTCGCGTCCGCGAGTTATTCTCCGCTTGTTAACAGTGTGCGTGGTGGGCGCGCGAGCCCGCTAAAGTGGCCCCGCTGCTAATTAACTGCGTTATTTTTTTACAACTCTCCTGCCGCGTTTCCTTCCGTCGTGGCCCCTCCCTACCCAGAGAGAGCCGGTCCTCTTCCTCTTTCTTCACTTCCTCTCCCACTCCCTCTCTCTCTCTCTCTCTCTCTCTCTCTCTCTCTCTCTCTCTCTCTCTCTCTCTCTCTCTCTCTCTCTCTCTCTCTCTCTCTCTCTCTCTCTCTCTCTCTCTCTCTCTCTCTCTCTCTCTCTCTCTCTCTCTCTCTCTCTCTCTCTCTCTCTCTCTCTCTCTCTCTTTCGCTCCATCTAGAAACTCGCGGCGCTCCGCGATGGAGTTCAATATTTTCCGCGGACGCCACGGGCTTCGGTTTTATATTTATCCGGCTGCTTTTATGTCCCGCTGAGAGAAGAGACCGCGGACGGTGCGTATTACTCCCGGGGCTCGATAATTCCGCGGGTTTCAGCGCGATCGGATGCGATCGTGATCGGCCGACCCGTGATGAGGGCGCCGAGAGGGACGAGAGGAGGTGTTTGGGGAAAATTGCTCATTTCCGAATCGGCGAGTTTCAGAAGTTGCGACATAAGCGTAACGACATAAGCGAATATCAGCTCTTGGGAATTACGCGGATATCCGTTCGAACAGATCGTCTCAGCCGAGGTTTGCTCGGCCAAGAAACACAAACCCTGACATAGTCGCGAGAGATACTAATTCTTGATGAAAGCTCTCTCGCCTCGTGCCGCCAAGCGATCATGAATCTTTTTTTTTTCGCAACATGAAGAAGCGGACATTTCCAATTTCGGGCTGGAAATTCTTCAGCTTCGGCGAGTCACCGATCCTTCTCTCGCGACGCGAGCGGCTTGAGTGCGGGCGAACGTCGCATTTCTCGCAGCATCTATCCCGACAGACCTGCGGCAAGGAAGGTTCTCGTGGAAATCGCGCGACGATCGTCCCCGAGGACGAGCGCTCCCCCGACGGACGCGAGCGAATCGACGTAGAAGTAAAAGCTTAATATCGCGTCGTGTCGGATCCGCATCGCGCGAGATCGGTTGGTACGGCGGCGACGGCGGCGGCGGCGGCGGCGGCGGCGGCGGCGGTGGCAGTGAGATAGCGAGCGATAGCGACGGTATAAGGTGAAGGAGATGGCGATGGCGATGGTATAGAGGTATCTCTCTGTGCCGGGGCAGACGCGGCACCCTTCTTTTCTCCGCCGCGAAAAGGCACTTGAAATAAATTGAAAATGGCTGGTATCGCTCTGGCCCCCGGATAAGTGATACCTACATCATCTACACGCGCACCAGTCGTCCCCCTTCGACCCCTCCCGCCGCCTCCCGCTCGCCCCCGCCATGCCGCGACCTTCCTCCCTTCCAGCCACCCACCCCCTCCGGCCTAGCGTTCTTTCATGAATTCGAAACGCGCGTTCGACTCGGATCGGAATCCGGTCGAGTCGCTTCAATTAATTCAATCGAGGGGGTAGATGGGCGAGAGCGGTAAACGGGCGGGGGAGAAGCAGGAGGGGTAAATAGCGCGTGTTACGCTTCGAGCAAGTTTATGCGCGAGCGTTAAGGCCTCTTTATAATCGCGATCGTTCACGCCGGCCTCGTCAGTTCGCCTCATTGTGTGACATTCGCGATGCGTCACGGCGGCGGGGGCGGGGGCGGGGGAGGGTGCCAAGTGTGTCAAGAATCCGTCACAATGGATGCGAAACAAAAATACATCGCGATCGACGGGTATTTGGCTCGCCGGTGACCGAAATGTGAAATCCTCTCGTGTCTTCATCCCCTTCGTTATCGGTCGCAAGTTTCATCGCTTCGCTCCTCTTTTCCTGCCCCCGCCCTCCCCCTCTCACGAGATTTCTTCCTCTTCTTCCGCGAGGGGAAATAACGCGTCGCCGCCGAAATCCGCCGTTTCGCACGATATTTCGCGGGTAGGCGCGTGTTAATGCAGAAGCGCATAAACGAGGGCGCGGCGCACATGCACACACACACACACACACACACACACATACATTCTCACGTACACCCCCTCGGCGACGGCTCACGTACGCGCGTCCGCGCGTAGCAATAAGCCAAGGCACACACGAGCGACAAGGTGTATTGAATCGACGAGTATCATGCAGCTGACAGCTAGAGCTAATTGAATCTTGACTCTATCTATCTGTCGACCCGAGGCTGAGACTCGACCGCCGACGCCGCCGCCACGAATTGCATTTCCCGTTCGGCGGTATCGCTCTCGCGCCCCCGAAGAATTCTATCCTGCCCGCACTTCGCTTCCTTTCCTCCCTCCCGCCCTCCTTCCTCTCCTCTTCTTACGCTCCGCCGTGCCTGCCGTCGCTCTTCCGCCGCTTTCCGCTATTTTCGATATCGTTCCGGCTGTCTGATAACACCTGTACGGATTTTTGGTCGCATAAATACCGAGGGGGTGAAATCAATGAAAATACGACAACTAGAATATATTCCATGGGGAGAGAGAGAGAAAGAGAGAGAGAGAGAGAGACGTGGGACGTCCGCTGAAAAAGTGGCGTATTGCGGGGCGGAACAGGCCATCTGGGCCTAAATCGTGAAGGAGATGATGATGATGATGATGTGAAATTAATAGTAGACATGAAAATGTGTGAGGCTGGACGAATCTCCACGGAGGGTCCGGAATGTTCCGAGGATACCAGCGCGCACTGTGGACCTTGGAAATAAAAAAGAGTCTCGCGTAGTTATAAACGTGAGATATTTGCCGTGTCAGGATCGAGTCGACCGCCCCCGTTTTTGTTAACGACGTCATCCGGGCGGGCTGTGGCTGCAGTAAACGCGGCTGATGCGCGCTTCTTCGACGGGAATTCCGGCCCGCGGTGACGCCGCGGAATCTTTTACAAGGGATTACAAAACACGCGCATGAGTCTCGCGAGAAAGAGAGCGCGGTTTCGCGGGGGGGGGGAGTCTTTCTTTCGTTCGCTCGCGCGCACGTATGTACGTACGTCAGAGGGACACGGGGGTGGCGCGAGAGGGAAGGAGCCAGGGAGGGTGCGCGAAGGAGGAGGAGAAGAAGGGGAAGGAAGAGGAGGAGAAGGAGAGGAGCGGGAGAGAGCGATAGAGAGAGAATCCAATATAACTGCACACACGTTTATAGGGTCGATGGGAATATATTGGAGCGGATATTGAAATACTTGTTGGTAGTTTGAGTTGAAGGCGAGAGATGCCTTTCTCGATGCCATCTTGATTGCGCAATCGAGGTGCCGATGCGGCCCCCGCTACAGAATTTGACGATAAAGATCGCGCTTGGATTATGGGAGGCCGAGGAGGCGCTTCCTTCCTTCCTTCCTTCCTTCCCTCCTTCTTTCTTTTATCAGTCACCGCCGCGTTAATGGCCGTCCTCTACTTCGCGACCTCGTCCCCCGTCGCGCGGTTTCGCGCGCGGTCTTGACATCATTTTTCAGACGCCGATAATCCCGTTGTCCCGGAATCGCCGATAGCTGGGGGCGGGGGGTAGGGAGGGAGGGAGGGAGGGAGGGAGAAGAAAGAAAGAATCATACGGTGCGGCTGGAAT